GACCGAGACTGCCTTGCTTTCAGTTGTTGAAGCCCTAAGACTGGCAAGAGCGGCTTCCAAATCTTCTTTTTATTTTATTTTATTTATTTAGTCATTTAGCAGATATATCATCTATATATATATGATATCATCTTCTATACTTATTTTGCTGGATCTGTCTGCTGCTTTTGATACGGTGAACCACCAGATTCTCCTGTCAACCTTATTGGAAAATGGCATCTCAGGAACCGCACGCCAGTGGTTTGAGTCTTACCTCTCAGATAGGTCCTTCAAGGTATCTTGGAGAGGTGAGGTGTCCAAGTCGCAACATCTAGCTACTGGGGTGCCTCAGGGCTCAGTACTTGGACCACTTCTCTTCTCTGTCTACATGGCATCACTAGGTTCTGTCATTCAGAAACATGGCTTTTCATATCACTGCTATGCTGATGACACTCAACTTTACCTCTCATTCCATCCTGATGATCCGACGATAGCTGCTCGCATCTCAGCATGTCTAACAGACATTTCTTGTTGGATGATGGACCATTACCTTCAACTCAACCTGGCTAAGACAGAACTGCTTGTGGTTTCAAAAACCCATCATCAAAATGTCACCATTCAGTTAGGCTCATCACCCATAACTCCTTCAAAACAGCTAGAAACCTTGGAGTTGTGATTGATGATAAGCTGAATCTCTCAGACCACATTGCTAAAACTACCCGGTCCTGCAGATTTGCTTTATACAACATCAAGAAGATCAGGCCCTTTCTTTCAGAACATGCTTCACAACTCCTTGTTCAAGCTCTTGTTCTATCCAGGCTGGACGATTGCAATGCTCTCTTGGCAGGTCTTCCAGCCACTTCTATCAAACCTCTACAATTAATCCAAAATGCCAAGATGGATCTTTAATGAGCTGAAAAGAACGCAGTTCACACCTCCGTTCATTAATTTGCACTGGCTACCAGTAGCTGCTCGCATTAAATTCAAGGCATTAATGTCTAGCACTTTCTATTCTATTTTAATTATACTCTATCTATTTTTTAATAAACAAAACTAGCTTTCTATTTTTTCTATTCTATCACATGTTTTTCTTTGTGTGTGTGTGTTTATTATATATATATATATATACACACCTTGCTAAGTGTACTGCGTTAGGCTAACCGAGACTTGTCATTTGCACTTATATATTGTTGCTCTTTTGTTAGTTTTGACTGCTTTTATTGTCCTCATTTGTAAGTCGCTTTGGATAACAGCATCTGCTAAATGACTAAATGAAAAATATGTAAATGTATCCTTTTATCTATCATCCAAACATTGTTTCCCGTCATGATAATTAAACGCATCACTCATTTCCTTAGATACATAAAAACATGAAACATCAGGAAACCACAGTCCACTATTCAACGAGCAGCGCACTGCGTTTCCATTGGTCGAGAAAGACAACATCCGTTTCTTCCGTCAGCCGTTCATGTGAACGGAAGGAGGAGCCAATGAATAAAACAACGGCCTTTCTCTCCGACAACCAATCAGCGGGAAGAATGAATGCGTGTCGGCCAATCAGCGGCGGCTGGTGGATAGGCGGCGGTGCTGAAGGTTCTCTGAGGCGCTGGAGGGTGGGGTGCGAACCGAGAAGCGCAGCTGGTTTGGTTGGATTTACTGTTGAGTTCACGGGTGAGTCGAGCTTATATCAGGCGCTCTCTTTAAACTATTCATGTCATTTCTTAATCGAGAGGTTCGGTTTTGCTCTGGCAGGACCGAGCCTATGGGAAACCATTGTTTTATGTTTAATTTGCCATTATGTTGAAAGATCATGCAGGCAGAGTAGCTTGTTAGCGTAGCAGCAGCTGTTCATTACATAGAAGTGCATTGATAGTCTCATGACCCTAACCCATCACTTTTTGTTTTACGATGGCGTGGTTAATAAATGCATAATATTACTGACACACATTTGTGTTTTCTTTTTTTTCTTTTGTAATTAACATGAAGTTGTTAATTTTCTAAGCACACTTCCTGTTCTTAGTGAAATGCATTAAGTGGGTTAGGCTGCAAGGTGCAACTTAAACACTGATGTTAGATATTTAGTCCACACGTTGAACATATTTGCTCGAGTAAGTGAAAGGTTGACTGCAAAGCCACTTTGAGAGACGAAGCCAGCCAACAAAAGACAATAGAACAGCCTGGTGCAATTGAAATGCAGTAATCTGCAACA